GGCTTTGGGGTTTGGGGCTTGAGGTTTTGTTAGGATGGATTTTCGGCTTTAGGGTTTAGGGCTGCAGGGTTGCTTTAAGGGTTCAGGGCTCGGGGCTGGAGGTCCTAAACTTAGGGCTTAGAGGTGGCCTCCTCCCAAACAGATCCACGAGGCTGGCTCTTGAGGGCTTGGGGTTTTCTGCTGGATTCTTGTTTGAACACCTTTATCCGCCTCACCAATCTCAGAGTTTAAGGTTCCAGGGATCAGGGTAAATTAGGGCCTTTTTTTGGGTCGGGGGCTTAGGGCTTTGGATTTAGGACTTTAGGCTTCATCTTCCTGAAGGACTTCTTAGTTTCAGGTGTTGAGCGCTTTTCGTCTTGTTCTTCCTGTTCACTCGTGTTCAACGTCGTCAGCGAATGGTCGTGTTTTCAAGTGCCCGTTTAGGCATGCTTGCCACAATCGAACATAAGACGACGTAGAAGCACCAAACACTGCACCGCAAGTGTAAAATCGAAAGTAACCAGAATGGACACCCGAAAGTCCAAACCAATTCGACCATCCACTCCGCTCCTCTGGAAGCCCAGGCGAAGATGCCGCCCAGCAAGCAAGCCCTGCTGACGTCTTACAGTGTCTTATACAGTGAACAAAGGAACAGAAACCGTAAGTATCTGTAAGTCTGACGACTGACGAACCCTAGCGAAAGTCGAAGAGCATGCAGAACTGCACTGTTTCTGTCGGACGTAGGCTGCAGAAAGCTTTCCATTGCAAGAGACATGAAACTCACCAGGCTCTGAGAATCGGGTTTGGCAGAATTGGCGGAGACTCGGTTCATGCGGCCCTTGGCACAACTTCCAAGTGACCAAGAGGCCTGAATGACTAAAACCAGGTTTTTCTCAGAGAGCACTGCGGTATTCCGTCAGCCAAATTAGACGACTACTCCGCACAGAATGAGCCCGTGGGGGCGTCGAAGGCCTGGTTCGGAAGGCGCCGCTGAAGGAACGGCAGTGGCCCATGAAGGCGCGCACAGCCAGCGTGGGGTTTGGGATTTTTGTGTTGAAGGCTCTCTTTTCTCTTTGTTACAGTCAAAACTAACTCCAAGTTTGGATGGGCCGAGGGCTTAGGGTTTGGGGTTCAGGACTTCAAATTTAGTGCCTAGCATCCTCCGGCGAGCCTTCAGGCTTCCTTGTCGTAGCCGTGAGCCAATCATACTACTATGGCTACTATGGCCCTAAACCCATAGGGTTTAGGGTTTTGGTTTAGGGGTTTAGGGCTTACGGCTTCGGGTTCCTCAACCCCAAACACCGATTGTCATACTGTGGCATCGATGTTTTTACGAGAGGCCTGGCAAAGCATCTCTTTCAATTCGGAGCTCCCTGCAAGCCTGGCCACGAAAATGATGAGCCTGGGAACGCAAGTTTAGGGTTTGGAATTGAGGGTTTAGGGTTTTAGGCTTTTCGGGTGCCTGCTCGTTTAAGTGAGTTTGAAACTCGCTGAACAGCGACTACATCTTTTGATCACGCACTCCTTGCTCTCAGAGTGCCTTGCTCGAGCAAACAACTGTCAGCTTTCTTGACAGCTTCTGCGAAGGCGGTAAGCAGAACGGCTTGGGCGAAATGCATCTAAGTTGTTGGCCAGTCGTAAGGTATGGCATGTCATTCTCGCACCCGAAGCAGTTGAAGCGCATAAGTCATTGTTGATCTGTTGCTTTGGGTGCCGAAAGATCCTCCTCAGCCCCCGAATCACTATATGCGCAGCCCCAAACAGGCCAAGGCACATGTTCTTTTCTCTCCAAAGGCGTGTGGATTACGTTCGAGGGGATTCAGGCTCTGGGCACTGAGCCACCACGGCGTGAGTGAATCGAGGGCGCTTTGGGGAATTTTTATTGAAAAGATCCGTGCACCGCAGCGAAGGGTCCGACCGGGAGGAAATCTCAAAAGGCTCCCCGAGCCGATCCCAGGAAGCAAAAGCCCTGAAGGCACTGTACCTAAGGGTTTTCCGGGAAGATGAGTTAGGGGTGTTTACTGCTCTTTTTTTGTTTGGGGTTCGGGGTTTCAGGCCGTAGGGTTTAAGATTAAGGCCTCCAGGGTGTGGAGTTTAGGGACTCGAGGGTTTGCATAGGTTAGGTACATTAAGCAGTTGTCCTTTTTTGTGTTCTCCGGCTCTAGGGCCTCTAATGTAGGGGCCTTAAATATTAGATTAGGGTTTTGGGGGTTCCTTATTATAATTATAGTATCATGGGCCCCAAAACCCAATTCTAATTATTAAGGCCTCTATATTAGGTTTTCTGGGGAAACACTGGCAGCTGAGGTGGAAAATGGTTGCTTTTCTGGCAGCTGCTCAGCAAGCTTCTCAAGCCAGTTCGTGGTGGACAAACTGGACCTGAGTACTGGCAGTGCAAATGAGGGTCGAACTGAAGCTTCCTTTACAGTATGTCTGCCATGGATAAAAATCTAAAACAATCCGATGCCACACGGAAATCTTGCCATATCAGTTCATCGGAGACAGGACACCACCCTGAGCGACAAGTTAGAACCATCTCGGGCGCAGGCAGGAGGAAGGTTCTTGATCGGGCACGGGGGCTCATTCAGGTTCACGCCTCAATGGAGAATACAAACTCCCATATAACGTGTATGCAGTATGTATACATACATACACACATACATACATACATACATACATACATACATACATACATACATACAACATACGTACGTACGTACATCTATACACTTACAGTATATACTTTTATGCATCTATGCCCACGCAAATACACACATGTTGTATGTGTGAATACATACAGGGAGAGAGGGACGAAGAGAGAACACAGAGTTGAAGAAAATACTGTACATATATACATACTTACGTACATGTGTGTATATGTATGTATATATATATATATATGGGGAGAGAAAGAGTATGGACAGTGTGTATATATATATATGTGTAATTACATAGTTTAGAGTAATACAGTACATACAGCAGGCTGAATGCCAGCTCCGACAGTTCAATTCTCAGCTGAGTTCCAAGAGCTCAGTGCGGTGCAGGCCAGGACGAAGCAAATGGCGGACAGCACGCAGCAGAGTGCAATGAGCCCCAGTGCAGCGCCACGGCGCCAGGGGCGCACCGTTGGTCCCACCACCTGCGGCCCAAGTCTCCCTCCAAAAGCGCCTGAGGGCTGACAGCTCTTGCTGCACCTTGTACCAAAAGAGTGCCGGCAGGATGAAAGCTATGAGGAAACTCACCTCGGTACCAATGTGCCAGCTGATGTGTCAAGAATGCACCGCGACTCGAGACGTGGCTGGTTTTTGTTCAGGTCGCATGGGCAAGTCTCTTTATCGCCAAGATGCCGTACTGCCAATCACGGACCACACGACCATGATGCTCTTCATGACACAGCTCACCAGCAATGAGGTGCCCAGAAGGAGGGATGTTAACACCTGGGGCAAACGTATTGTATGATACTTTCCGTACTGTCGTTCTGGTGCAGCATGAGTTGTGCATAGATTTGCGATCGTGATGTCGTGTCCTCCTGCCAACCGATGTTTTGTAGTGTCAGCGTTGCTCCTCTTGCTGCCTGTACCAAATTTGCACTAGCAGTAATAGTCTTCTAAGATTCTTAGCACTGACTGGGGCGCCCCTTCAGTCCAAAGCAACGGCAACAAATGGTAATTACGTCTTAGCACCAGGACACCGCTTCGAAGGATTTGAGGGGGCCAGCTTAGGAATTGTAGAGAGCGCCTTCCAAAACACGCAGATATCCCCAATTCCCCAAACCTAAACCCGCAATATCCACCTGTATCTCTAAACTCCCTATGTCTGAAAAAGGTCCTGAAAATTCTGATAGAGCCGGCGGGCTATTCTTTGGCAGTTCGTAGGCTCGAGGGCCCCCTGCCGCATGGCCTCTTCCTTGGGATGGAAGGTGTCGAAGACGTGCCTGAGTTCGGGGGCCGGGCCCTCCTGAAATTTGTATTCGGGATTCTGGCTTGAGTGTGCATTATACGTGTGTGTGTATATATATATATACATTCATACATACATACATAAATACATACATACATCACATCTAGAAGGAAAGAGAGAGAGAGTGAGAGAGAGAGAGGGTCTGTGTCTCTGCAGGGCTTATGTAAGAGGGGGCAGGCATTGGAAGCTGAGTAAGGGCTGGGGGGTTGATGCGGATAATCGCAGGCATCCATTCCCCCACACTGGTGAGTCTTCTTTACCTTGTCCCTCACTATGTTCTGGCCACTCAAAGTCAGAAGGTTTGCGGCCATAAAGACATTGGGGTTAGGTTTAAAACCCCACACTTGGTACTCTTGTGGAACCCTTATGGAACCCTTGTAAGGTAACGCTTATGGGAACCCGATGTGAGGCACCCTAAACCCTAAGTTAGTGTAAGCCCGAAGGAGTTTTGAGCTTGGCTGAACAACAGGGGCAAAGCCTTCGAGAGACAGGTAGAAACCCAGAATGGCACAAACTACAAATCGGGACGAAAAGCCGTAGAGGCAACGGCGACAGTGCCAATGAAGAAACATGACAGCAACAGCAGCAGCAACAACAATAAAGACGACAACAACAACAACAACGACAACGACAACGCCCAGGACGGTCATGATACATCTGCTTCATGAGACGGGAAGGGACCTCGAACAGCCAGCACAGCATACAGCTGCACTTGCCAAAGTACCCTTTTCAGCTGTTTAACATCAGCCCCTACAGCTTTCAGGCTTGAATCAAAAAAAGACAAAAGGATGAAGCACAAGACGGGTTGCACGTCGGGCGCATTCCTCTCAAGGATGAGTTCGACATGCGCTACATGCGTGACAAAGGATGCGCACAACGAGCTGCTGAAGGCACCCGTTGCTAATGCTGAGAGACCGGTTTGGGGCATGGGTCCTTGCAGAGCTCTGACCTCGACCTCCGCGGGTGTCCTGCTGGATGCTGGCAATCTCACAGACAACCAAAATCTAAGGAAGCCAAAGAAACATATCAAGATTGTTCATCGTTAGATATAGAGCAGCTACAGCTACAATGACAAATATGAAACGCACGTGCCAGTGATTCACTGTCATGGCGGTGGCTGGAGACGCGATTGAAGCTGCTCCTGGCGGAGGTAGACGTGCACGCATGCCTCCGGCGGGGACGAAGGTGTAGATGACGGCCGCGAAGGGGAGGAAGACCGCTGCCTGGAGCCGACAAGCCGAAGCAGCTGTTGCTAGAACTGATGGCAATGTTATAGTGCTCCTCTAAGAATTCCAAAACCAGAAAACTGCGCAGGCAGCTCCTCCGCATTCTACATGCGACTGGGCACGTGGGCAAGTGCGCAGGTGTCTTTGGTGTAGCGGAACATTCTCATCAGGAACACGTCGTGCAGCAGTGCAGCACTTCGAACCGGTATCGAAAACCAACGGGGGCCCTCTGAGGGGGCAATCCGAGAACCCAAAACCCTAAACGTTATTCCCTAAACCTCAAACCCCAAACCCCAAACCCGAAACCCTAAACCCCTAAACCCTAACCTGGCACTCGTGGAACCCCCCGACATGTCGCCTGGAAGGTGTCGGGTCGGCGACACGTGGCAGCCGTCCCACCTGGGGAGGGCGGGGGCTTTCAAGGAGGGCGCTCGAGGCCTATAACAACAGTAGTAATGACAGCAGCGATAGGAATCGGAATCATAATTCACACTAGTAACCATAAAAATAATTACGATGATCATGCTACAAACCCTACTTTAAGGGCCTTAATGATTGGAATAGGGCTTTTGGGCAGAGGGACTTTCCAGGGAGAATATGAATAACTATTCCAACCCCTAGAGCAGCTTTCTGTTCCAAGAAGGGTCCAAGAACGGAGACGAGTTGAAACAACTCCCACCTGTGAGTCGCTGGTGAGGTCGTTCGTGGAGGTCGAAACGATCTCCAGGCTAAAGGAGCCGGAGCTATTCCTTCATAGGTGTAGGGTTTAGGGTTTATAATAGGGTTTAGGGTTTGGGGTCATGTTAAACCTTACTAGCTGTTGGCCGTACTAGTTGTTGGTAGTGATTTTTGTAGTCCTTCTAGTCATAAACCAAGTTGTTACTCTTGTACCTTTCTCGCAGCCCAGTGCTGCATCCCCAAAGTCCGAAACCCCAACATTTCGCCGAGCATCTCCCGGGCGCCATCCAGGGACTCTGTCAGCGGCGCCTCAGCGGCCTTGACGCAGCCAGAGCCGTTCAGGAGCCGGAAGAGCGCGTTCCGACACGGCTGGCAGATGAGGGGGAAGTTCAGCATCAACACCTGGCCACAAGCCAGGCCAAGCACTTGCTTGAGCAAAGACAGTTCGTCAGTTAGTTAAACATTAAGGATGATGAGGGTGGTGATGACGATAATGATCATGAGCAGCGTCGTACAATTATATAGCACTAAACACACATACCATGGTGATAACCTGTTAACATTATCTCCAAACAGCGTTACTGGGTAATGAGTAGATGTCATAGTAAACATAGACAACCATACACCCTCAAAGTGCAGACTCTGTGACGGTGAGTCTCAAGAACAAGCTGAGCATGCCATTCCCAACGCCACTCGCGCGACGTTGATGAGGTTGTCCTCGATCTCCCAAGCATGACATGCCACATGCCAGCTCTGCAAGAACATTTGCGCCGAGAAGGATCCATGAAGGAATTATGCGGGTGTTCACAATTCATCACAATTAGAACGGGATGTTGGTGTACATGTTGCTACAGTTCTAACGGGGAGCCCAGAACAGCCCAAAGACATAGCACTTGTTTACTACTTGGAGGTTGATGGGTACTTATCAGTAGGGTCAGAATTATAAGTCCCCGAATCTGGATTATACAGATAGCTGCTCCATCCATAACCCCGCTTACAAATACCCATGAACCTCCAAGTAGTTCTTCATAAACCCTAAGTCCTAAACTCAAACCCTAAACCCTAAACCCCTAAACCCCTAAACCCCTAAACCCCTAAACCCTAAACCCTCTTGGGAACGCCATACTCAAAGCCCCAAGTGACGGCCCTCAAAGAGCCGAAGCGCTTCGCACATTGCAAGACTTGAGGCCCTGTTCCACGCAAGCCAGTGCAGCTTCTGCTTCAGGGCTTTAGGGTTTGGGGGTTTAAGGTTTAGGAGTTTAGGGTGTGGGGTTTGGGGGTTTGGGGTTTAGGGTTTGGGGTTTAGGGTGCCCTTCATTCCTGAAGGCGACGGGAAGCCGATCCAACGACGAATCAGTTTGCCGACGCTGCCACTGAATTGCTTCTTTAGCTTTCCCACCTTTCTCGAAACCCTATAGACCCTAGAACGTACAAGGGTGCATGCTCAAGGGTTTAGTGATTCGGCAAGATGCGTGTTTCGGGCTCCCTCCCAAAAGGGGGAATCTTGAGCGGCCCGGGGATCCCGGGCCCTCCCCAAAAAAGGGAGAGCCTCTGGAGGCCCGGCCCACCCCGCAGAGGCTCCTTTTGGGGGCAAGTCCCTGAGTACCGAGGACGAGGTAGCCCCCCAGGTTCGCGTGGAGGTTTCGTGGGGGATCAGAGTCAAGTTGCCTCGCTGCGAGATCGCAGGTCTAGGCTATCAGGGGCTCAAGGGTTGGGGTTTGGGTGTGGGCGAATCGGGCTCCGCCGTTCGAGGTTCCTGCTTCGCTAGGTTATTGGTTGAGGTTCAGTACAGGGACAACGGTTTCAAGCCCAGTCTTTGGAGGTAGGGGTTCGGGATGTAAGCAAAGGATCATCAGATGGGAAGTTCAGCAGGACGTTGCCGCAGGTGAAGCAGCCCGCAAAGAGGTAGCCGCAGATGCTCACGAAGAGGTATATCAACTTGGCTACTTGATGTGGAACTCTGATCGGAGGAAGCCCAAGATCCCAGAGGCATCTCAAACAAAAGCAGTGAGCCTATTCAACAATCCAGCCAGAACAGAAAGAACGCCTTCTGCCATGCAAGCTTTGAGTTCAGAGCTTCCGGATAGAGCTGAAGACGATAGTTACAGCATGTTACAGCTGCACAGTGCCCTAAACTAAACCTTCGGGTGAATGACAGGAAGGTGAAGGAGGAAGACACAATGCAGCAAGCGAGTCTGCATGTATGTGCGTATGTGACGAGAACATATGCACGCAGGCAGGCAGGCAGGTAATTACGTATGTATGTACGCATGTGTTTGCATGTGTGTACATATTCATGCGTGCAGGGGTGCAATATGTATGCGTGCATGCATGCATGCATGTACTGATGTACGGATACATGGATGTAGGGATGTCTGATTGTTATGTCTGTATGGACATGTTCGACATAGGCATATACAGAACGGTGCTGGCAATACTACTCAAGCTCGCGCAGCAACAGCAAAATAACATGCCATAACTTTCTTAGGGATACTAGGCAAAAGATGATTCCTTCAACATGCGTAGCAATGACCAATCTGGAAATGAGTATGGTGTGAGTGGCAGCGGCTAGGATTTCTCACTCCCTGAAGCACAGCACTTGCGATGAGCATACTGCCGATTGCAGGGATAGCCATGGCTTTAAAAAAGTCATGACTCACGATTCACACATACACAACTTGATGAACACGTCCTACTTCTACATTGTGCTTGCAGATGTGTGTGTATATATATATATAGTACAATGTTCAAAGTACAAGTACCAACAACTTGAATACGTACGCGAAGCCAGTACCACAAATAATCTTTTGAACACGATATACAAAAAATCATGCTGATATGCTGCACACGTGTAAAGCGTACTGCAAATCATGTAGCACGTACACCTAAATGGCAAACAACACATGTGCGATCTAGATTAACTATAGGACCTGGTATGTTCATATACGTGCATACGTCTGTATGCATGTGTTTGATTGCATGCCGTATGTATGTGTCTATGCGTGTCTACTACTGTGTATATGTATACACACGTAAAGAGTACCCATTCGTAGATATGTATATTTACATACATGTATATACAAGTGTGTATGTATGTTACGTACATACATACATAGACAATCATAGACATAGACATAGACATAGACACAGACATAGACGTACACATACACATATACGTACACGTATACATATACATATACATATACATATACACACACCCATGCTTGCATGTGTATACACATATAAAGAGAGGGACATTACATACTACGTGTTTGTCACATATTACACATTACATATGTTCAATCACCTTGTTCGAGGTGCTTCGAGACAATGCATACAGGGATCCGTATATTGCATCCGGGGTGAGCATGAAGCTGCCGGGAGACCGACGTCAATGTGAGCGTCACCAAGATCACCCTTCTCATGCGATAGCGCGTCGGCCGTTCCAGCTCTTGATGCGTCGGCAGTGCGTTGAAGTGACACCTGAGCAGTCAGAGCTCCGTCAGCTCCATTGCCAGAAAGAGGAACGAATACAATGGGGACAGATGGGTGATTGATTTCTGCCTACCGGGCCTAGTACATCAGCAAATGTGCCACGGCCAAGAAGTAGCAGTCATGCCTTTTTCTGTGCTACAGCAAGTGTCTTGGTCTTCGTCATCATCCTGACTGATAGCATGGCCGGTGGCACTGTCACCGGCATTGCTGTCACTGCCGTCGTTGCTTTAAGAACATGCAACAGCTGCCTGGCAGTGGACCCTCACATCGCGAACATACAATCCTACAACACTGGTGCAACGGCAGTCGCGGAAAATGAAGCAGGTGTGCCGAGGCGCAAGAAGGAGACCCCGAAGATGGGAAGAGCGTACATCGCCTGTTCCTGGTTTGCTGAGCTGCGATTTTCAAAGTCCGTGTGAAGAGCCCTGACGGGGATCCGAATGCGTGGAGTCTACATTTAAGGGTCGTGCCTTCGGTCGTGCCTGTCTGCAGTTCACAGGTTTGTGGCATCGGGCTTCTGTTTCAGGATTGGGGGGGCTAGGGTGGCCCATACCGATGAACGGAGTTCTGAATTCTGCAGTCCCATGCAAACAGACGAGGGCACCAAATGCTAGCAGCCAAAAGGGATCCCTGTACGAGACTCTTTGTCAGAGGTTTCGGAAGAAAGCCCTTTCTGCGTCCTCCACAGCTACTCAATAGGTCCTAAACTTCCTAAACCCCAAACCCTAACCGGTGTGGCTCAAAATGCTTCTGAGCTGCCCAGTTTTCTGGCCAGAGGTTGTAATTTGGCATTACCTGCACGAGGAGTTTCCACCAGTGTTACCCTTGTGCTTCCCCTCGGCTTAGGGCTTGGGTCTAGTAACATAGCTCATCACTACAAGCAGCCTGCATGGTTCTTGCAGAATATTGCCGTTGCAGAACACCCACAGTAGCACTGAAAATAACCCTAAACCCTAAACCCTAAACCCCTAAACCCTAAACCCTAAACCAATATAGCATACCGGAGCCTTGGGGAGGCATCATACCTATTCGGATTCTCCTTATGCGGACATCCTGGCAAAGCATGGCAGACTAGCAGCCCTTCCAGTGAGGATCCGAAACCGCCCGAATTCCTTTTAAGTTTTGGAGGTCTAGGGTCTAAGGCGTGGGGTTTAAAGTTTAAGGATTCGTGCACCTGGAATAATGGCCTAGCTTCTTGTGGGCCCTATCCCTACAGTTTACAGCGCCTGATTCGCTGTCTGCCGACATTTATACGACGAGAGGAATGCTGCACTCATGCTTGGCAAGATATCTGCAGATAACAAGTCATGGCAATAAGCTGATCTAGAAACAAGGCAGGCCTATGATTGCACGTCATATCCCGCGTTGAGAATATACGTAGTTATAAGTACAGCTACCTTGTTTGCTAAACCGTAAACCCTAAACACTAAACCCTTGTAACCCTAGTTACCGAGTTCCATGCTCCTTTAACCCTAAACCTTAAACCCTAATGACCCTAGTCACCAAGTTCCATGCTCCTTTCAACCTGCACACTAATGACCCTAGTTACCAAGTTCCATGCCCCTTTAAACCCCAAACCCTACATGCTAATAACCTTAGTACCAAAGTCAAAGTCCATGCTCCTTTAACCCTAAACCCTAAAACCCTTGTAACCCTAAATACCAAGTTCCATGCTCCTTTAACCCTAAACCCTACAAACCCTTGTAGCCCTAATTACCAAGTTCCGTACTCCTTTCACCCTAAACCCTAAACCCTTGTAACTCTAGTGACTCTAGTTACTAATTTCCATACTCCTTTTAACCCTTAACCCTGAACCCTCCGCCTGCACCATCCGGTTCAAGTGACTGGGGAGCTGCACCTGCCGACAGGCAGCGTCCAGGGAGTTTGGTTTTGGGGTTTACGGGTTTAGGCTTTAGGGGTTTAGGGGTTTAGGGTTTAGGGGTTCAGGGGTTTAGGGTTTAATTTAGGCACTTTCGAGACCAATCAGCCGAATCGATCTGAGATCTCGCTACAACGAAGTCCGACCAAGTCATAGCAATTTCGCGGTTTACGTGAAGGATTGCAGTTCTGATAGTCATACCTACCTAGAGAACTGATAGCATCGTGCAGCTTCCTAAGCCATGTTGCAAGTGTTGAGACAGTTCATCCGGACTTTGAAGGTCTGGGATATTGAGACTGCGATGGAAGCTGCACCCGCAGGCGCAGAATTCTGATATCCTTTATACCCACTCTCGTTTAGGGTTTAAGGTTCAGGGTTTAGGCTAATCGTAAGTATGTGTGCGCAAAATGTGTGTATATATGTATATATGAATCAATGAACGAAAGAATAAAAGCACGAATGTGTGAATGCATTAATGAATGAATGAATGAATGAATGAATGAATGAATGAATGGAGCGGAATGGAATGGAATGGAATAATGTGAAATATAATGACTGAATGAATGAATGAATGGAATGGAACGGAATGAAATGAAATGGAATGAAATGGAATGAAATGGAATGACATGGAATGACATGGAACGAAATGGAATCAGATGGAATAAAACGAAAATGGAATGACACATAATGAATGAACGAATGCATACATGCATGCATGGATGGACGGATGGACAGATGGACGCATGGACAGACGGACGGATGCACGGATGGACGGATGGACGGATCGACGGATGGATGAATGGATGGATGGACGGATGGATGATTGCGTGTGTCGAGGAGGGGTTCTCGTTGTGATCATGAGACGTAATGCTTACATACATGCATTGGTACATTCAGCTGGGGACATACCTTCGAGCATGTCTCTGCACATGCATGTTTTTATACTTATGTAGATGTACATGCGATAAGCGTAGCACATACATAATAGCTTTAAGTTAGATATAGATTGCTACAGAGATAGGGAGAGATGTGGAGACATATAAATAGGTACATATGCGGATGCAGATGTAGATATGGATGTAGGTTTAGACGAAAGAGTGTGCGTGTATACAAACCCATGTATGTATGCATATGTATATGTACATGTATATGTATACGTGTATGTGTGTGTATATATATATATGTAAATGTATATGTATATGTATATGCATATGCATATTTATATGTATATGGTGTATGGTGTATGTGTATGTGTATGTGTGCGTGTGCATGTATATGCGTATATGTATTTGTGTATGTATCTGTATTATAGCTCATAAATGTTTCTTTGTACTCTGTACGTACATACAGACATATATACACACACATATAAATATGCGTGTGTGTATATATATATATACATATATATATATACATATATACATATATATATATTTATATTTATAGTGCTTTACATATGGATGCATAAACAAACATCTACATTTGTACACTATGTATACAAAATGTCTTATGCAAGGCCGAACGGCCTGGATGGTGTGCTCGCGCCCGAGGGACTCGAAGGCCCGGATGCCCACCACTGCACCCACGACGGCCACCTGCGAGGAGATGTTTGGGGCATGCATAGTTCAGTGTTAGGTTCCTTCAAAGGTAAATCCCTCGGAATCCACAAAGATTCAGCTGGAGGCTTCCTCAACCGTAAGTCTCTTGGGATCTAAAGGAAAGTCAGCTGAACTCAATTCTTCGCAGAAAGAAATTAAGAACCTTGACTTCAGAGTCAGCGAGTCAGAACCTTACCTAAGTCCCAGAAGATCCTACCAGGCTTCCCGGCACTGCAAACGCTCGCGAAGCACATGAACCGCAGGGCAGACAGGCTACCTCAGCTAGGGTTTTGAAAAAGCAGGAACAAGTTGTGCGGGACTCGCTTTAGTTGGAGGTTTAGGATTTGGGATTCGTCAGGATGGAGTCCTGATCCTTAGAGTCTCAGGGTCTTACCAATATGTGCGTGTCTATCGTTCAATCTATAGAAACCTGGCGATAACATGGGTACAGATAACCATAGATACTTACATGCATAGATACATGGAAAGACACATACATATGCACGTACATACAAGCAGGCTGAGACACAGACAGACATACATATACTTACCTCAGCTGAGAGCCCAAGCTTCGGCCAAGGCTCTTCTGAAGCACATGGGCGACAGAAAGAGTGCGGCGATGCAAACCACCTCAGGGTAGCCCAAAAAGATCCATGATCAAGTGCTAGCGCAGGAAAAGTGGGACCTTGATTGGCAGGAGGCAAACCTGGTGCCATCGTGGCTATCTTGGTCACTCCCTCAGCAGAAGATGCTTGTCCTTAGTTTGTTATATATATATGTAGAGTATAATAATATCTATAACATATCATATGATTTACAACCAATATAATATCTATAATAAATAAATAAATATATATATATATATATCACATTATATATATATGTAATTAATATATATATACATATATATATATACACTAATTATATATATATATATAACTTGATTCGTCACCGGCTCCAGGGCCCCTGCAATCCGTCGGGTCGTCTCGGGAGTGTAGGACGTCCGCAAGCTGGGCCTCAGAAGATTCTTCAGGCAGGCTTCATAATAATAATAGTAATAATAGTAATAATAATAATAGTAATAATTTTAATGATAATAATAATAATGATAATAATAATGAATGATAATAATTGGAAAACAATAATTATAGTAAACAATATTTATAGTAATGATAGTAACCTCAAGCCTCACATTCATGCCAGAATGTGACGGAAGCTGCTGGCCGAAGACCAGCTTGAGTGCGGCAACCGAAACGGCACTCCGAGGAATGCGCAACGGACATGTCAGCTGCGCGGACGTTCCATACCCTGCACCCTAAACCCTAAACACCTTCGAAACACCGTAGACGCCTAAAAACTGCTGAAAAGCCTGCATTGAAAACACGGAGATCCTAAGACCTCAACAACACCCCAATGCGACCCCTGTTGGCGAGCTGAGAACTCTGAGATGAAGGCACAACCAGCTCGGCCACCGGAACCTAGGGGCTTAAAGGGGCTCTAGCTATGAAGGTTCTGCGAGGCTTCTGTTGGGATTTTTTGGGGTTTTGGGAAACAGGCTTCCGTGGTGTAGGCTGTTTAAGGTGTCAGGGTCGCAGGGTGTAGGATCGAGGGCAATCGGCGTCGAGCGTTTCGGCTGAGGTTGAGTGAGGATTTAAGGTCTTGGGGTTCAGGATTCGGGGTATTGGAGTGGGGTTAAGAGCCAAGGAACCATCGTTTAACTACGGGATACTTAGGGCATGTTAAATTCTAAGAGTAGTACACAATAGTACTAAGACTACTTGCCTTCAACTGCGATGTCAACCTTCGCCTACTTAGAGGTCTTTAAAACGACATTATTCCCTAAGCCCCAAAACTACACCCTAAACCCCAAACCCTCAACCCCAAACCCTAAACCCTATCCTTGGGCCCCCCGGCCAGGAGATCCGTGAGGAGCACGAAGTAGGCGATCTTCGTCAGCCAGCAGATCATGAAGACCAAGCCCTGGGCAGAAATGTAACAAGGCTCCTGTAAGGGATCCTTTAATCAAGAGATGGTTTAAAGGGCTCCTGTACTGTAAGGGATCCTTTAATCAAGAGATCCTTTAA